GTGTGAAAGTGTTGTGATAACCTGAAACTTGCTTATTTTCCACAGACAGTTTCAGGTCCCCCATCTGTGGTTACTATGGAAAAATAAGAAATGTTAAGAATATTTATACAATTTATTTTCTAAATTGAATTTCAATTTATTTAATAATTTGTAAATATATCTAAAACTGAGCAAGAGACTTGAAATGAATTATTAATACAAAATATTATAAGAGAAAATTTTGCTTTAAAGTATTAAAAATCTTTCGACCATTTTTAACCATTCAATAGCCCAAAAACTGAATTCTTCGATATATTCATAATTAAATTATTCTACAAATTCAGTTCTGACTTCAGTTAATTTGTATTCAAAATTCAATAATAAAATTAAGCATTTAATAACCTTTAAGTAGTGGACCAGATGTGTATAAATTTTGAAATTCTGAACTTAAGTCGGTTATGTTGATTGAATCATTATTCATGGCTACAATATGATTAAATAGTTCATGAGTTCGTCTTGCTATTTGCTGTAATGGAGCGGAAGATTTTCTAATCAATTTTTTACAGAAGATACATAGCTTTCAAATTTAAATGCACTGTAATTATCTAACGGCCCAAACATTTTTACATCTTCGCAAATATGCAGTAGGCCGTGAACATTATGAGCAATATACTGTTTTTCATAATAAAGCCCAAAATTTACTACGAAGAGTTTTAATAGAGACTGTGCGTATTCATCAATTGCCGTCTGATTCTGTATTTTGCATAAGAGTCTAATCGAAATATGAAGTAGTAAAAATGATCATGTAGCTTTTGTTAAATTAAAAAAAAATAAATAAAATAAGTGGGCTAGTGTACAGTATAAATTGACGTTTCAATTCTTTTAGAGTTGGTTCCTTGGTTTTCTTGCAAATTCAATTGGTACATAAGGCTTTTAAAACTGGTCATTAAAAAAAAAAAAATAGTTCAACATTTTTATGTGGTAATCGTGCTTGTAAGGTGCCTCCGCCTATCCTAATAGTAATCATTTTTTGTACTACTCCTAAGCACACAAGGGACATAAAGTTTAACGGAATATTTATTAGTCCCATATTTGGAATATTCCTTAAAATGGGATAATCGTTTTGGTAATCGTCATCAGTCAGTTCTTCTTGAGACATAAAAGTTCATATTTCGAATCACAGTTTGAAATGGAACTTAAAGAATATTTGCTAGCGCGAAAATTCGACACAATCCTTTTTCATAATTAAATACTACTTCATCTTCTGACGAATCCGATAATATACGTTGATTTATTCTGCTGTAAATCCGTCTTTTAGATATCTGAGATAATTTTTTTTTAGTTCTGATCATTTTTGTAGAATAAAAGAAACATTTAGAAACTTACTTTTCACACTCTGTCAATGTAACGCTTGCAAGCGTCAGCAAGTCAGTTCGTAACTGAAAGAGAATTTGGAACGACGGCTATTAACATTTAGCAGAATAGCTGAATTCTGGAAATCAGAAAGTAAGTACGTGTACTTTTCACTTTGTGGGGTTCTTCAAGGATATCACTATTACGAAGCAATTAAAACCGTTGGGTGCGTTTTGCGACTTTGTTGTGAAGGGATGTTTCCCTTATAGGGGGATACAAAAGAAGGGAAGGTCTGACACATAAATCTGCCACGTTAACAAAAGAGAAATCTTCTTGGGGCATCGGCTACAGAAAAAGTGCTCAGAGGTGTTACATTCTGAGTGGAGCTCGGTTTCTCAAAAGCAAAGAAAATTTGAGAAGCAGTTTTACGACCAATGATAATGATGATCAAAACTTTCAACTTCAATTGTTATTTATAGTATAAAATAAAGTAATAAAACTGCTGAGTTTAAAGAACGCGTTTAATTTAAAAATTAAATCATTTTAATTTAAAGTTTGAACATCTATTTAATCCGTTATCTAATTTTGAGTTTTCATAACAGCATTTAACTTTGTGTTATATACCTTGAAGAAACGTGTTTACTGCATTTTCTGGATGTTACAAATAAATTAATAAAGCAGCAATTATTGTTAAATTATGAGGAGTCATGTAGCATTGTCGGCATAACGTAGAAGACTGCAGAGCGCTGGATATATTTTTTTCGCGCTTTGTTTAGCAAAGATCGAATATGTGTATGGTTAAAGTGGTAGCAAAGTGAGGTTTGAGGAGAGTAAGAACTTAATGTTAGTTCTTCCCATTCTCAAACCTTATTTTCCTATTACAGAGAGGTAAAAAATAAGTTACTTCTTACCTCAGTTGCTTTGAAAGACTAATTCTCATTATTAAAGAACTTACCAGAAAATGAACGAAGAAAAAGAAACTGCAATGAATTTTTTAGCCCAATAAAATTATTCTTCCTGTTTATAAATTCAAATTAAAGCAAGTTAAACCTCGTACAGACTAGTTTTTAACTGCGTCTGTAAACTAAAATTTCGTTTGTTAAAAAAAATTATTGTTACTTATTACTGCACAACACTAAACATCATTCATTACTAATATAATAGTGTAACAGATCAAAAAGTATTTTTTTTATTTTGCAGTTTCAAAGTATAGTTATTTCTATGCTAAGAACTATCGGTGAATTTAATAGAATACTTTTACAACTTGATATTTCTGATTAGTGTCCTCAGAGACGGGTAAGTGATTAGTTGACTGATTGCCGTACAGAAGGGCTCAAGTTCGAATGCCAGATAAGGCATGGATGCACATCATGCCCATCTGTTCATAGGATAAATGTCTTCGTAAAAGATTTTCTGAGTTAACCTGTAACGTACATAATATTTGTGTTCAAAGATATTAGAAAAGTATCTAAAATAATGTTTACAAAATATATTATGTAGCAATTAGAATTTAATCGTAAACACACTTTCAATATGAAACTCAAACACGGATGAAAACACTTGCCTATAACTTGTAAGAAAGTTCTCTGATCAATAGGCACTGTGAAACAACAACAAAAATTTGAAAATATAATTACTTAATATTTACAGCCAACATATACAAGACGAAATCCAGTGTAAGCATAACAATTAAATTTTCATATGCAGAATAGGTAAATCCATAGAGTAAGATTTCGATTCTTATAACATGACTTGCGTGTGGTACAAGGTTACTTTAATATTTTCAGATATGAGCTTCCATAAAAAGTAAGTACTGAAGATATCTGAGAAACAACATCCTCAGGAGATCTTCATATATCCCGGGACATTACGACTTGAACAGGACATCCTTAAGATGTTGATTTACGAAGTCCTCAGGATATCTGAAAATCAACATCCTAAGGAGATCTTCATATATCCCGGGACATTGAGACTTGAATAGGATATCCTCAGGATGTTGACTTAAGAAGTCCTCAGGATATCTGAGAATCAATATCCTCAGGATATCCTAACTGCTTCCCGGGAGATTGCGACTTAAATAGGGTATCCTGAGGATGTCTTGTGTTATGGGGGGAAGCCTACAAAATTTATAAAAAGATAGCGGTGCTGCACATTTAATACTATCTTTCTTTAAAAGGTAAAGTTCACGTAGACTGTTAATGATCTGTTAATTCTACTTCCAAGTCACCAGCATATTTTCTTTCTTTTACTATCTTTTAAATATCCTTAATTGTTAAACCTACAATCACATCATACATTCTCGTTAAAATTTGTGAAAGATTACTGTAAATTTAAAAATATATTTACGGCTTGCTTAAAACAAAAAATACCAATATAAAGTATTGCAGAGAAAACAGTATTGATAGAAAACTTGTTTTCAGATTATTAAAAACAAGCCAGTCTTTTTCACAATACTGTTAAAACTACAAAACTAAGGCATTCTTGTGTCCTGAAAGTTACTGGAAAAACGAAATAACTAACTAGAAATGAAAGAAAGAATGATCGTTTCATTACATTTGTAATGCAAAATGCAATTAAGGGAATAAAGTTAGATCCAACGATACGCGAGTTGATGCTCTATGCAACAAACCTTCAAGCGTAGATAGGAGTATATTGTCCACAATAATTTGCAATGTCTCCGACATTCTGATTAAATCACTTACAGAATAACGGCAAAACGTCAAAGGCTAATAAAGTCTACTAACTTAAAATCAAATTTCCTAAATGGAATAATATTTAGCCATCAAAGTCAAATTTGATATTTTTGGAGTGATAGACAATGGAAGAACAATGTTTCAGAGACAGACCATTTAAATAAATTGCACAAACTAGAACGCTATGGGTCTGTAAGCAGAACTGGAAAGTTACCAAATACATCCCGATGCACACTACATTTAGTTGTATTTAAGAAAACATGTCTTTCAAGTAAAGAAGAATGTAGCAAAATATTTTTCAAATTGTTGGAGGTCTCTGTCCTTGACTCTCGAACACTATTGCAAAGGCTATATGTCAGTTAGAACACCAATTTCTATTTGCAAGTTTCACGAAATATTAAAAACCTGCGTGTAGTTTCCATTTTTCAACCTAAAATCTGAAGTTATGCGTTTAAAATATTTATTTTCATTTAGAAATGTTTCTTTTTGTATCACTCATTTATTGGAATTATGTATTAGATATGTGCATTAAAAATTATTACCCTTAGTCGAAACTAATCACTTTCTTTGAACGCCCCTATACAATTTTGTTACATATATTTTTTAGAGTCCCTATGAATATCGTTGGAAATATTAGTATATATGCAAAAATGACTTGGTGACAAACCAAATAATTCAAATACATTTTGAAATATACAACACATAACGCTGCTAACTGCATTTACATTATGCCTTATATTATGCATAATAAACATAAGCTTAATATACGGTTAATATTTAATCCTGATTAATAATATAAGGTTTATGTTATGATAAGCCTAATATAAGCCTTATATGATGCTTAAGTGAAACTCAGTCTTTAAGAAAAGGAGGCTATCATGTTCATAAAAAATTGTAAACCTGGGAAGACTTATGACCTTGGCAGTAACCTTCTCTAGGATGTGACAGTTAATAGAAATGCGATACAAACTGAACCTGAAATTAGAAACGTGATGTTCGAATTTAATATGGTCCACTGTTCATTCGAATCGGAGAAGCAGTCCGCATAATGGCAGTCATGGTCGATTAACGATAGCTGATATTCTGATTGATGGTCCAAAGTTAACTTCTCCTCATGATAAACATCGTGCAAATTATTCATCAAAACGTAACTCCTTTTACCTGAAAGAAAGGAATACTGCCAACAAAGAGAATAACATTTAAACCGAAAGTCACATAATCAAACTAGAAGCACTCAGTTATATTTCAGATGCCATTTACAGCAATATTTTAATGTGTTTTTTGAAGAATAACTTCTCTAAGTATAGTGCTATAGATTATGATATCAGATAAAGGATTCTAAAAAACATTCTCTTTTCATAGGTCTGAAAATTTAGATCTCAAATTAATTTAGTAAATTTCAATCCAAAATAAACAGAAATGAAACTGATAAACGACTTCTGTGAAATCGCATATTATCAAAAGTACATGCGCTTCTAAGTTGTTGAATTTGTTTCTCAAGCATATAACCATACATTAGAACTATACCATCAACTAAGAAGAGCAGTAATGTTGATAACCATTTTATTCTTCAATGAGACTGCTGGAATATTTCATTGTCATTGCTTTTTTATGTGACTACATTTCATGGATTGTTTGCTTTTGTCCAAAGTACTGGAGGAATGCCACGAAGCTCGAAGTGTTGGCTGGAATCCAATGTGGAAGTATGTGGATTCAACAACAAACTATTGAGCTATTGAAACAGGAAATGAACTCAAGAATTTAATAAAATAAAGTAGAAATAAGAAGTAGTAATAGAAATAAAGTAAGTAGAAAGTTAATAGAAATAATAGTAGAAAAAATTTAAAAGGCCATACAAATTTAAAAATGAATTATGTATCAGTCATGTACTACTGCGTTAAAAAATCTTCCACAAATTAACAAAAAGGGGAGGAGGACTTTCGTTATTATTAATTACATGCATCAATGAATTGAATGCATTTTCATTTAAATCAGTCAGATTAGAAAATAAAAAATAGTTTTGTAAAGAATAGGATTTATTGCTTTTGAATCGCTTAGTTTACTAATCAGTAACAAACAGATTAAATTTGAAAACAAACAGATTAAATTTGAAAAATATGTTTCTCATGCTTTGTAGAGTAACACACTGGCGTGTGGTTCATGAAAGTGATTTATTTCGGGCAGAGGCAACATATTGCTTTTAGCTCACTAAATTTATTAATTAAAAATTCATTATTTTTACACAAAATTTAAAATGAATAAAAAGTAGTTAAAAATTTTAAAAGCTTTCAGATTTTATATTACGCCTGAATGGGTGTTTTTTCATTTACAGCCACACACACGTTTCGAGACAATTTGGGTTAACGCCTCACTGGGCTAAAAATATTTAAAAACAGCATATCCTCAGAATTCCCGATAGACAGTCTCGTGCGCTGGCGACAAAAAATGTTTTATTTCTTACAGTGTTGCTTTGAAATTGTTGAGTTTTTTAATTAAAAATTCATTTAAGTTTTACAAAATACGAGATAGACAATAAAAGAAATCTGGGCTTCCTGGTGTCATGTTCATTCTGGTGAAGGACTACGTTATTCATAATTTGATGACTCTAGTTACCGTTACTTTTTCACACCCAAGAAGCATACATACATTCATGTCGATTCTTCATTATTTAGTTTCTTTAAATATAATACAAGGTGATAATATTCGGTAGCAGACTAATAGCCATTCTGGGCTAACGCCCATTTGCGCAAATAAAGGAACACAACTTTTTGTATCGATAGAGGAACCACCGATATATCGTAAAGATCTCGTTGTTTTATTAACCAGTTAACTGTGGCGCTCTCGTTTAAGAGCACGCACCGTTTTGTGTTGCCAGAATCTAGCTAAGACGAGTATATACGTCAATCACAGAGCAAGTTGCGTTGGTAAGATATTGGATGAAAAAGATGGATTTATTTTATAAAATTGAAAATTTATTACTAATATTTACTTATTTGGTTAACATAAGCATATATTACATATTAAACTAAAAGCGCAAATAAATTAAATTAAATATTATACACATAAAAGTAAGAATTTAAATTCCTCAGCTGTGGAGTGATATTCAACTAAACAGGGTACTATGTACTATACACAATGGAACTTTGCAAATCGAAGACCAATAACGCAATTCCTTCCAGATCTTACGTTTGTAGCAAATGCGAACACCTTCGCGTAGGGTTGTTGTTTTCGATGTTCCGAGGTATATAATCCCGGAACATGATTCCCGCCTAATTGCCTTTATATTAGGGCTTAAATGACCAAGGTTTGTGACGATTTATTTCTTTCAAACTGGATACTCTCGCAAAAGTGTCTTCAATAAATTTGAGCAAAAAGTTGATACGCGATAATGTTCTATTGTTTTTACTTCCTTGTACGAAGTAAAAAGGAAGTATTGTAATCGCGAAAAGTTTCAGGCAGCATATTTGAACGAAAATATCCATTTTGACCGCTATCGAATGCAATTTAACGATATTTTTGCGTGATATCTGTACGCAAGGACAGAATAAATACTCTCTTCCTTCAAAAAATTATAAAACTGCTTTAAAATTAATTCTGAAGAGAATTTTTCGTGGCGTCTGTACGAACGTATGTACGTACGTATCTCACATAACTCAAAAACGAGTAGCCTCAGAACGTTGAAATTTTGTATATAGGACTGCTATAACATGTAGATGTGCACCTCGTATTTTGGTTGCAATCGGCCGCACCAAAACGTATATAAATATATTTATATATATATATACACTATTACCCGGCTCAGTGATCTCGGTTTCTTTACTCTTATATGTTTGTGAATTGTACATTTTTTGCTTTAAAAATGATTGAATTATGTTGTTTTTATCTTCCGGTTAAGGATTTTATGCCTTTAGTAACTTTAGTAAATCTGTGTGCAATATTTTTAGAATTATCAGCAATTTTAAAGTTGTTTAATTGCCGCTAAGCCTGTTTTTTAATGGCGGCCATTGATGTTTACGTTTGATTGAAACAGGAGACTAGTGGATTTGTGCCAATCTAGAGAAACTTAGCTTCGCAACAACAAAGATAACGCCTTCATTTATTATTGCCAATTAAATCATGCTTAATTCTTTCTGGAATTTTTTCGAGGAAATAAGCGTTTGAGATTTACTTCGTAATTTTTAATATAGATATTTTGAGTTTTTATGTATTTTTGACTTCTCGCGAAGTGAGAACTGAATTAATTAAATGAGAAATACTCAATCGTCTGTAAAAACTTTCTTTTTTTGTTTTATACATAATTCTAGCTTTATTATAGTATTTGAATAGAACATGTGGCGACGATTAGATAATTCTTTAAATGATATACATTTTGTGCATTTTGAGTTATAATATGAATGAAATATAATACTGTTAAGTAAACCTAGCGCCAGATTGTCGCTATGGTAAACAAAGTGAATTTTAAAGAATGTATTTATTCTTATTGTGGTTTATGCGCTGTCGGCGAAGTAGGTTTAATTCAGTCTAATAAGTTTAAATAAAATGCAAGAAAAACTGCGTATAATTTAATATTCCGTACAAGGAAGTCATGTGGTGTACACATCAGATTTTTTCTATATAACATGAATGCATTCAGACACAATGTTTAAGAAATCGAGAAATATCTTTTTGTAGTACTTTTTGAGTCGCTTTCTTGCTGTGGAGTACGCTATAATACTAATTCCATTGTTCATATTCACTCCACCCATTTTTTCATTATAATCAATCACTAGCTCCGGTTTCTTTTGTTATTATTTTTCTTTTCTCTGTTTATATTACGTTGCCATTATGTACAGTACTCAATACACCTCCCTCTTATCTTTCCATTTCATTAACATAACATACGCGTGACGAGTATACTCGTCAATACACAAACTCGTGTCGCTTCTCCATAACGAGTATACTCGTCAATCACAGTTAACTGGTTAAATTTTCTTAGTCCTTATTTTATTACTTTTTAAGAGTATATTCTTTGAGAATGGAGAATAGTTTTGTAAGCAAATGTGATTACATTTTATTTATTTAGTTTTTTGTTTTTGTTTTTGCGCTTAGTTAGTCAAGGAGGAAAAAACGCATTTTCAGAACGCCTTAGTTAATCATGTTAAATATTTTATACAAGTACCCCACTCCCGATGAGTCTGTCGGAACTTTGAATTAATTTGCAGATTTTCATAAGTGTTTTTAAAAACTCTTTAAAGCATTTTATTACATACTAAAAAAATCTACTAGTCTGCTGTTTCAAATGTAAACATCAAAAAAAGGTTTAGCGGCACTTAAACAACTTTAAAATTGTTGATCATTCTAAAAATATTGCATACAGATTTAAAAAAGGCATAAAAACCTTAACTGGAAGATAAAAACAACATAATTCAATCATTTTTAAAGCAAAAAATTTACAATTTACAAACATATACGAGTAAAGAAACTGAGATCACTGAGCCAGGTAACAGAGTGGATATATACATAAATATATTTATATACGTTTGGTGCGGCCGATTGCAACCAAAATACGAGGTGCACATCTACATGTTATAGCAGTCCTATATACAAAATTTCAACGTTCTGATGCTACTCGTTTTGGAGTTATGCGAGATACGCACGTACGTTCATACGTTCATACAGACGCCACGAAATATTCTCTTCAGAATTCACTTTAAAGCAGTTTTATATTTTTTTTTGGAGGAAACGAGTCTTTTATTCTGTCCTTACGTACAGATATCACGCAAAAACATCGTTAAATTGCATTCGATAGCGGTCAAAATGGATATTTTCGTTGAAATATGCGCCTGAATTTTCGCGATTACAATATTTCCTTTTTACTTCGTACAAGGAAGTAAAAAACGACTAAATGGTATTGATGAGAATCCTGAGAAACGTTATGTTAATACAAAAATTATATACCTATGAAACTCATTACTGGCATATTTATAATTTGGCCGTGGCAAAAGCGCTAACATTAATTTGTCAGACACTATATAAAGACGATTATTTTGCAAATAAGCTCAAAAGCAAATGACTTAATAGAACTGCACCATTACTTAAAAATTAAAGATTTTTGTTGGACAAGATCATGTACCAAACTTTCTAAGGCATTAGAATATGCCAATTTCAACTTGATTTAATTA